TGGGCTCTGTGGCCACTTGACCAATAGACTGTGGCCAGGGTGATGCTGTGCCCATTTCTGGGTCCAGATCATAGGAACCTGGCGGGTCCGATTTCCTGTGCTGGGGTGGCGTGTTCTGGGAACACGGGAGAAGCCTGCGGGGAGAAACCCGCAGCAACCCCCCCAGCCAGCCGCGCGGCGCCGGCAGGAACTGAGGTGGGCTTTCCTGCCAAGTCCAGGCCAAACTGCAGATCTGTGAGCGAAATCAATGACGGATGTTGTTTTAAGCCACTATGTTTTGAGGTGGTTTATGACATAGCAAGAGAGAACCAGAACAGTTAAGGTCAGTTACTAGCCATTCAACGTTTTTGAAAAAAGGGGCCCAGCGAGCTCATCTAAGCTCACGGTCACTGGGAAGGTAAGTGGCAAAGTATGCAAAGTGCCTTGGCATTGAGTAAATTCCCAACACACAACTCCACTGCCCCTTATGCAGAATCAGCTACGTAATCTGTGAGACCCAGGGAAAAAAGAAAAAGAAAAGGCAGGGCCGCTTGTTCAAAAATTCATAATTTCTCAGACAGCACAGCAGAGCAGAAAACCCAGCACGGGCCCTTCATAGCAGCAGCCCCGTTGGTCAGAACAAGCCGCGTGCTGTGAAGCTTGCTCCTACGATGTTCTCGTCTGTCTGACTGTGGGAACTACTTCAGCTCCTGCAAAGCAGCCTTATAAATAAGAACCCCACTCACTCACCACAGTTACTTTTAACACCGAATGAAAAACAAAAACAAAAAACGGAAGAATGAAAAGTCAGCACGGAATCTTTACTTGTTCACTCGGACGCAACAGTGATTTCCACCCACCCCACCCCCCGCCCTGTCTCCACTACCCAGCACCAAGCTGGGTCCTTGAGCAAACTGGTTTACCTCTGCAGGGCTCAGTTTTCCCATCTGTGAAATGGGGAGGCTTGTTCTTGACCGCTCTTCCAGGGCTCCCCGGGGGCGTGGGGCAGAGAGCGGGGTACAAGATGATGACTGAGGATGCACAAGACAATGCAGAGATCAGGCGGTTCTCTTGCAGACGCTGTCTGCACTGCCGGCCCTCCCAGCCTGGGTCTCCCCTGACCGCAGAATCAGGGAGAGCGGCTCCAAGAACAGAGGCTCTCACTGGGCTAGCCTCGTGTCCTTCCTGCCTCGCCAGGAGACTCAAAGCCACAGATGGCCTGCCGCTTGACCTCAGGCAGGTTACCCAGCCTCCTGCGACCATCGCTGCCTCCCCAGAAGAGGTGGAATAAACCCGACCTCCTTCCCCTCTCCCAGCTGTGGTGAGTTGGGAGGCGAAAGGAAACTTGTCCAGAGGGCACGGTGCCAGATGAAAGCTCTGATATAAACACCGCCCAACCACAGAGGCAGCCCGCAAACACAGGCAGGAGGGGGACTTCCCGGCTTTGTGACAGTAGGTCAGTTTGTCGGCCTCTCTGAGCCCCAGTCGGTAAAAGGGAGCGCTGATACTCAGCTTCTCAGCAATCGGTATGAAGCTCAAACAGAAAGAATGTAGAAAGGCTGGAGCTACCTGCAAGGCTCCTGAAATACCTACTCAGACTACCATGTGCTGAACAGGGAATGTGCCCAGAACCAGGCCGAGCCTTCGCCCGTGTTACCGCCAGGCCACACGACCACCTCGTAAGGTAGTGGTTGCGCCCATTTGCGGATTGGGAAACCGAAGGTGAAGGCACTTAAGGGCTTTGCTGGAGGCCCTACAGCTGCAACGGCTTGAGCAGGAGGGAAACCCTGATTGAACTGGGCCATTCCTTCCCCGACCAGCAAAGCCATGGCAAGGAAACAGAAGAGGGGCGCGTGCTTGCTGGCCAGCTGGGGAAGAAGTGCAGGCTGGGGTACGGGGAGACCCCATGCCCTACACCCAAACGTAAACAAGGGCTCCGGCCTCCCCCAGGAATTTTTGGTGTGGTTTTTACTCTCCTGGAAGACATCTAGAGAAAGAGGAACCCAGACTGATGGGCGCCCAGACTCCCGCCGTGACCTCATCCGTGGCGATACTCATCAGGAATGTCGTCATGGCTCTCTGTCCCGAGAACACCCAGCCCACCGCTTCCTGGCTCCCAGCAACCGCTGTCCTTGCCCAGGCTTCCCCCAGAAATAGGTTACAACAACCTTTGCTGCCTCTCCTGTGGCCCTTCATGCCTATTCCTGAAATAATACCAGGATGTTTATTGTTCTAATAGCAGAAAAACAGAAATAATGATGTTTTTACAATCAAGCCTAAGTGCCTGATGGCAGCCCAGCAGGCCCCTGTGACCTGGCCCGCTGGCTTCCCTGCTCACCTCCTGCTTCTCGCCGCCCTGCTCACTATGCTTCTCCCACTGTGCTGTGCTTCTGGAATCTTTTCCTCTTTTTAAATTTATTTTGAGAGAGAGAGAGAGAGTGTATGCAGGGCAGAGACAGGCAGAGAGCGAGCAAGAATCCCAAGCAGGCTGTGCACCATCAGCACAGAGCCCAATGCGAGACTCAAACTCACAAACTGCAAGATCGTGACCTGAGCTGAAATCAAGAGCTGGACGCTTAAGGGACGGAGCCGCCCAGATGTCCCTTGCTTCCTGAATCTCCAGGCCTTTCCCACCTCAGGGCCTTTGTAGTTGCTGTTCTCCTGACTTGCTGGAATGTTCTGCCACCAGGCTCCCAGAACCCCTCTCATCATGTCAACTCAAGTTGAGCTCAGAGGACGCCTCTTCAGAGACTTCCCCAGCCACCTGGCCAGAGTTGCCCCTCCGCTCCAGACTGTGCCACAGGTCCCCGATTGGGGCTTCTTATAGCACACAGTAGGGTTAATTCTGGAACAATCAGTTACGCAGTCTCCATCAGTTTTCATCCACTGGACACAGGACCCATGAGAGCAAGTCTGAGCGCTAGACAGACCTAGACCTTGCCAGGTCCCTCTGCAGCTAGACTTGGGCCTGGCTCACCACAGGTGTGAGCCTATGGAAGGGAGGGAGGGCAGGATGAAGAGGGGAGGGAAGCCACTCAAAAAATAGATCTTGAGGGGCTCCCAGGTGGCTCAGTCAGTTGGGCGTCCAACTTCAGCTCAGGTCATGATCTCACAGTTTGTGGGTTCGAGCCCCGCATCGGGCTCTGTGCTGACAGCTCAGAGCCTGGAGCCTGTTTCAGATTCTGTCTCCCTCTCTCTCTGACCCTCCCCTGCTCACGCTGTCTCCTTCTCTCTCTCTCTCAGAAATAAAACATTAAAAACTTAAAAAGAAAAAAAAAAAAGATCTTGAGCAGCAACACAGTGCAGCCTGGAAGGCACTAGAACCATGAGCAGGACGTCCCCTGCAGAAGGACCCAGAGCACATCGCAAATGACCATAGTTCCACACATCTAATAAACAGCCCAGTCCTATGACTCTGACGTGAGGGGTTCTCGGGGGCACCCCACAGAGCAAGAAGTCTATTCACTGTGGGGTTCCCAATGCAACCTGGCCCCAAGGGACACCAGGTCCCAGGAGAGCCTGAAAGCCCCGGTTAACCAACACCTTTTTGAAGATGACCTGTTTGTGGGTTGGAAGGAGCTGAATTCTGCCAGCCTAGGAAGGCTCGCTCTTGGCAAGCGGCAGCCAGGCCGCACCCACAACAGAAGTTTCCATGCAGCAAGCAAGACCCATATATCAGGTGGCGTCTAACGGAACCCCATGACCCGGCCGGATAGGGACTGATACCGTCACCTCGCAGACCAGGAAACAGCTTTAGGGAGATACAGGCACATAACCAACACTGCCCATGTGGTAAGTGGCAGAGCTGGGATTAGAACCCAAGTCTGACTGCAGGCCCCATCGCCACCTGCACACTGCTGCTGTTCTGTGCCCATGCCCCAAAGTGCAGGCCTCTCTGCCTGCATCTTGCTCTCTGCCCCTGGTGACCTGTGCTCCTCTGGCCCCGGGCATGGCCCCAGGGTGTGCACCCAGCATAGGGTGCTGGCCCAGGGCAAGGGGCCTGGGGAGGGTGTAGGAGCCTAAGGTGGGCTCTGCCAACTCCTCCTTGGGCCCACGGAGCGGACTTCAAAACTTTTAATATCCTCACTTTGGCCTTCAGTCAAGCCCTATTCCCCCACTTACACTTAGTCTCAGTCCCATAGGTGTTTTTAGAAAGAAAATTCTCCCTTCTCTCTCCACTTCCACCCTCCACTTCCCCCACTGTTAGCACAGATTTTCATTTCTGTTTAGCCCAACAGCCCAGTTCCTGGTGACTGGTCTTCAGGATCTCCCCACCCTGGGGAGGGGTGAGAGGAGACAGAGGCCTCTCGTTCCACTTTAGGGACTGGCCCTGGCCTTACAGATTCTCAGAACCTAAGACAGCCTGCAGGCTATGGGACTGCCTTGGGAAATGATAAATTTCCTTTGAGTGCAATAGCTTCCGTAGGACACATCACTTACCGTCACCCCCAGGATGCAACGGCTCAGGAAGAGGGATGTACGTGTGCACGGGACGGATCCTCACAGCTTACAAAGTGCTAGCCTGAGTAGGAGGGGCCTTGCCCGTCTGTCCACCTGGACATCAGGACAGACAGAAGTTGAGAAGTGGCCCCTGATCACTGGTCAGGACAGGGAAATTCACTGTGGCTCTCGGACCAGCCACACGGCAGGCAGACGCTGGTTAAACGGCTGGGTTGATGATCAGGTCTGGGCACGAGCTGGAGTCCTGGGGCTGGGGTGGGTGAGGTCTCACCACAGCCCTCCGTCTCCTTCCTCCACCCCACAGGGGAGCCACAGTCAGAGAGGGGGACTTCCGGCTGCCTGTTGTGGGGGGCAGTCCCCTCCCAGCTGAGGCCCGAAGTCCAAGAGTCACATTTACCCACTGGTCCTCACCTTGGCCCCGCACCCCACCCCCACCCCTGGGCCTTCATGCTCCTAATCTGTGACTCCCTTTTCCCAAGCTGTGAGACTGCTCAGCCCAGCCCAGAGGGAAGAAGGTCATAGGGAGGCCAGAGATCTCTTTCTGCAAATACTCAAGGGGAGACTTATGACGAGAGACTTTATTTTGCATACCCTTGGGGGGCAGGTCCGGGACCAGGGAGTAGGAGTTACGCGGAGAAAGGGCTGCCTCAGCAGATAGCGGGCTCCCCGCCATCAGAGGCTGGCCGCCCGGGTAGATGGGTGAAGAGGGACCCGCCTGCCCTGCGGGGAGAGAGGCTCGCCAGAACCTTCCCGCTCAGAGGTTCTCAAATACTCTTAATCCCAAAGATAATTTCCTGAGCCTTACGATTAGTTTTTTTTAAGGGACCTTACTAACTTTCCGAGGATCAAAAGTTTTGGAGGATCGAAAGTTTTGTGAGGCAAGGGAGTGCTCCATTTCATTAGACGTGGGTCAGTATCTTCAAGCGAAGAATGCCAGAACCCTGCTGGCTGCGGGCGGCGGGAGGGGGCGTCCTCGGGGCCTCTCAGAACAGGCGCTGCACGCCCACGCTGTCTCTAAAACCTCACGTAAACTCCTCCAGGTTCTGATGTTGGCGTCCTAGCCTCTCCAACTTTCCCCAAGACATCTGAGCGGTTTCAGAAACTACCCTTGTGACTCCTGACCCAGCCTCGACTTCCTCCAGAGAAGGTGCAGGCTGGCGGGTAAACAGCAGCTTTCCCAGCCTGGCCTCCAGTGGGTAATTCCAGGAGCCTCCAGGCGGCTGAGACGCAATGCCCTGGCCTGCGGCGGACCTGTCCTCTGCCCACAGGCCCCTCTCCAAGGCCCTTTGTTTGTACAGGAGTCTGAAAGCCCCGGGGAGAGCAGGTCAGCAGAACCAAGTGGGGCAGCTTTACTCCTTCCAGTGAAATGCAAAGACGCTGAAATCCAGACTGAACTACTTGTTTTTTGGGGAATCCAGAAGAAGGCACCTGAATACTAGGGCAAAGCTGCATTGCTTTTTGACATCCACATCCCTGCCGTGGGTGCTGAGCGGCGGGAGCCCGAGGACGGGGCAGGGGCCCGGGATGTGTAAGCATGGCAGATCTGGGGAGGACACATCGTCATTTCCCGGGACACAGCGGGGCGCCCACAAGCAGGCAAAGATCCAGGAAGGGCCCGGCTCCCCTTCAGCAGGCCCTTCTCCAGGCGGCAGCGGGGTGGGCAGGGCCTCCGGCAGAGCGGAGCCCTGCAGCTGGAGCGTCTGCAGACATCGGGGTCCCAAGATGCCCCCGCTGGGAAGACTGTAGGGATGTCCTGAGACAGCTGACCCCAGGCCCTCAGCCCACGGTGGGGGCTGCAGCATAGGGAAGGGCTGGCGGCATCTGTGGGGTGTCACTCAGCCCTAGCGGGGCGGGAGGCCAGGCCAGGCACGTGCACCTTGGCACAGAGCTCAGCACGCTGGCCGCTGACAAGACGGGGCCGGCCGCCGATGCCTCATCCTTTGGCTTCCCCGCTGACTCAGGAGAAACCACCACCGGCGCTGGCTCAGTGCCCACAGGGGCCACGCTGCGGTATCCGGGGGCTGCCGGCACAGCGGCAAGGTCGGGCGGGCATCGCTCCTGAGGCCCGGGGTGAGGGTAGCCAGCAGAGCGGTCTGTGCCTTGTGTCCTGTGCTGCCAGCGAGCTCCAGCCCTGGCGGTGTGTGTCTGATGCTCAGGGCTCCAAGGGCATCTTCCTGGCGGTGATGGCAGACGGGGCACCCCGTCCCTGCTGTCTGCCTGCTGCCGTTCAGACCCAGCCGCTGGGTTGTCCCCAAGGCACGAGCCCGGGCCCCCCTGCGGTCTGGGCTGGGAGGCAGCTGGGTGGGGTGCAACTAGAAACCACCAGAACCCTCCTGCCCAGGCTGGTCTTCCACTGGATGCCGGAACCTCAGTTCAGGCCACACGGGCCTCTGCCACCATCCTGGTGCTGCTAGTGCCACCCTGGCCCCGCAGGGACCACCCAGGTGCCCTCTCAGCCCCAACCCAGACCAGGCCTCATTTCTCAGAGACGGTCATGGGCAAGGTGGCCTCCTTTCCTTCCTCTTCTACTGAGAACATGACATCCCCACAGCTGCCCAGAGGTGGTTCTGTCTCCTGCTCCGGGAAGTGGGGGGCACAGTCCCCTTCTAGATCCTCCTCCAACTCAGGCCCCGTGGGCCCTGCCAGGCCCCGGCCCTCGGGCACCTCGGTCCTCACGGTCCCCACAATCACTGTATCCGCCTTCATGATGTAGATTTTCTCTGCAAGGCAAAAGGGTGGGTTGAAGGGAGGGCACTGGAGCCATGGCTGGATGGAGCCAGGAGGCAGAAGAGGGTGCGAGCCCCAGCCCTGTCACTCCTACTGTGTGGCTTCAGGCAGATGACACAATCTCTCTGATGCACGGTAAGCCCCACCACCCTCACAGGTGTCCTGACGCCCAAAGGAAATAAAAGCCAGAAACCATGGGCTAAGGAGTTAAGGGTTGGTCCACCTGCTCCTTGTGCGAGAGGCTCCCCGTCTTCTGGGCATTTCGGTGGGGATGCAGCAGGAAGGAGAGAGTAACGCAAGAGAGAAAGCGAGCCCTGGGGAGAGAAGGGCCAGGAAGCTCTAGAGCAGGTTAGCTGGTGCTGGAAACTGTCCAGACACTTTCCACGCATTACTCCCGAATGCTCACATCCCTGCAGCCAGGGGGAAAGTCGAGGTTGTCTCCGTGGACAGACAAAAAACTGAAGCCCCAAAAGGTTAAAAGGCCCAAAGTCACCAGGTAGTTACAAGTTTCAGAAAAAACACCCACCTGACTGGCCACCCTTTCCACTCCTATCCCAGGTTTCTGCCTAAATCAGAAACCTGGGGTGCCCGACTTGTCCCAGTTTGCCTGGGGGCACTCCTGGGGCATGGCAGTGACAGTCCTACACCCCATGAGCCTCTTAAGTCCAGGTAAACCCAGACAGTTGACCACATGCTACAGAAACCCCAGCCCTATTGATAATTAGCAGGAGGCTGGGAGTCTTTCTCTGGGCCGTATTTCAGGTGTTTATCACTTGCTGCCGAGCGCCCACCGGAGGCCTTCACAGCTGTGCCTGACTAGCACACAGTAGGGCTGCTTATGTGTGTTGCGTGGATGAATCAGCAGCATGATCCCCTGCGGTCCTCACTACCATCTGTGGCTCTGCCTTTGGAGGCTCAGGGGACCTAAGTAAGCTGCGCAAGAAGCTGAGAAGTGAGGCGCCTTCAGACGGCCTTGCACTCAGGGCAGGGTCCTAGCTCCCAGCGGCTCAGCCCTGGGACTGTCTCCAGTCTGAAAGAGGAAGCTCAAGCGGAAACTTGAAAGCTGGGGTGGAGCAGCTCTGGGATCCCTGCCTCTCTGGGTAGCCCAGAGATTTAGGAACCCTCCCCAAAGATCTTCAGGGGCCCTGTACTGGGCACCACATTGCATAAGGCCAGCTCTTCCGTTTTGGTTTTTAATATCTCCAGGAAAGAGGGAAGTGGTCATATTGCAGCGAGGACTACAGGATAAGCTAGTGTGGCAAGCTGAGGACTGGGGGCCCCACACCCACACCAAAAGAGAGAGCTGGGCCCCAGGCCCCAAACATACGCCCTCCACCTGGAACTGCAGGCCCTGTGCCCGGGGAGCCTGATCAGAGGGGCTAGGGAGAGACGGGAGCCAGAGGTGGTGAGAGGGGGGAGCCCTGGGAAGCGAGACAGGGCACTGAGCCAGACAGCTAGAGGAGATGAGGCACAGGGGAGCAGGGAGGGAGGGAAGGGGGGGTGGGTTTGCCCGGGCAGAAGAAGCCAAAGCTGGGGCCCAGGCTAGCGACCCCTCACATTCCATGGGTCCTGGCTGCTCTGATTCTGGGCTGCCCAGCAGCCAGCTGGGAGGGGCAGGGAGGGTCTTCCTGGAGCCACTTGGACTTTGTGCCCCACCCAGGGCTCTAGAATCCAGAGAAGTCATCTTGGTGTGGTGGGAAGTGAAGGGGCTCCCCCTGCCTGGTGCCCTGGGGGCGAGGGATAAAGCTCAGGCCACAGTTTGGTCCCCCCGGGGGTACTGGACAGATTCATCAGGGCAGCGGGGGGCCCTCTGGGGCTGTGTCAGAAGGACGGAAGGCTCCCGAGAGGACCTCCAAGACCTCCTCTCCCAACTACCACACTCACCTGCGAGGCCGACAGGCCTCTGGGGCAGGCTGCCCACTCGCAGGCCATCCTGGGAGCCTGGTACCTCCCTGCCCCTGCCCCTGCAACTCCGGGCACTGCCCTCGGCAGGGACTCAAACATTCAAAGTAGGACTTCTTAGGAAATTTAAAGGAGATGCCTTTGGTGGTATTTCCCCAAATAACCCTCTTTTAAAGAGCTGAGAGCTAGAATTCCAAAAGTTTTAGTTTCATATGACTCAGCCCCAACGAGTTCAATCCACCAACACGTGCGGCAGAAATGTGTGGGACAATTACAAATGCCTCTCTGGTATCATCCCAGCAATGGCTAATCCTCCAGAGAGGACAGAGATGGCGGTCACTAAGGCCCTCCCCTCAGGGAGCTCATGGCCACGTGGGGGAGAGGGGCGCTGGGGGGAAGGGAGGCTACGAACACAGTCACACTGCTGGGTGCTTAGGATACTAGGTCGGGAGGCCTGGGGTCTGAGGTAGCACAGCAGAGGGGCATCTGGTTTCGACAGGAGAGTGGAGAGGGCCAGGAAGACTTCCTGGAGGAGGAGGCAAATAAGCAGGGGCCTCAGGACCTCAGGAATTGACTAGATTTAAAGAGGGAGTTGCCCATCCAGGGTGAGGAAGCAGCTCCCACAGAGAAGCTCAGGAGGGGAGGGAGGGCTCTGTGAACTCAGGAAACTCAGAAGCAGACCTGTCGGGTCAGGAAGCTGGTGAGTCTGGGGGGTAGGATGCAGCTTATGACCAGTCTGAAGGTCGGGATACGAGTCCTGGAACCCACCCTGAGAGCAAAGGGCCCCCGCCCCAAGGGTTTAAGCAGGGGTGCAGAATGGACAGGCATATATTTTGGCGCACACACTCCAGGGGTACCAAGGTAGAGAGAAGGAAGAGAGGATGCAGGGAGGCCCTTGGGAAGCCAAAGTGGACAGTCTGCCTGAGTGCGAGGGTGGCCACAGCTCGGGAAGGGCTGGCCTCCAAGCCGCCAGGGGCAAGCCAAGGGCTTCGGAGCCCTGCAGGGGCCACGTCCCAGCTCTACCGTCAGTGGCTTGTGTGACAGGGAAGATCTCTTCACGCACCTACCCCCACCCCCCAGCTGCAGTGTCCCCTGCTGTAAAAAGGGGAGGAAGATACTGTCCTCAGAGGGCCATGTGACAATGAGAAGTGACTTTCACCTAGACATGTGGCAGGTCACATCGTCACTGGCATGTCTTCCTCCTGTCCCTTCGAGGGGCTCTTTGTTGGGGGAGGGGCCACGTTCCCATCTCACCTCAACAACAGGCACCGGGCAGGGGGGTGCCTTGCCCCCCACCTCTCATGTGTGATTTCACAAAGTCTCGCGATGGCCCTATGAGGCAGAATGACTACTATTCCTGTTTTGCAGAAACTTAAACTGGGGTAACAGGGTGGAACAAGCTTTGTGACCCACCTGAGGGTGCTTCACTCTCTCACGAAAAGCACCTCCTGCTTACAGGGGCCGGGCCTTCCCGCCCGAGAGTCTCTGATTCTGGTCGGGGCACTGGACCCTGAGCCAGTGCCCAGCTCTCCCCCGCCTCCCTGCCCTGACCACACTGGGATCCCCAGATCGGCATACTCACCGATCCTGTTGTTGGTGTGCTCTGAGGTCACTCGGGGCTCAGGAAGGTCCCTGGGGGGCTCAGGGCTCCCGGCCGGGCTGGCGTCCAGCAGGCGCACGCTCTCCAGGTGAGCCGCCCCGTTGGGGCAGGTCTCCACGGCCAGGGGGCTCATTAACCCCAGCTCTTCTGTGCCCGGCTCCACCACCGATATGCTCTCCTTCAGCTGCTGTGGACACAGACGGTGTGGGAGTGGATGTGGGAGGCCCCAACGTCCCCTCAGGCTCTGAACTGGGAAGCCCCCGTCTCTTCATCTCTGTAGACCCTAGTGGTCTCCCTCTCTGCCTTAAAGCTGTCACACACCACCCAAGGCTTCACAGCTTTGAGAGCCTGATGTCCCTGTGAGAGTTTCAGAAGTCGTGTTGCTTTTCGCTTGTACTAAACGACAGTAGCCAGCACCCCACACGGTGCTCCCCATGTTCATGGCCCTTGACACGTGTTAATCCTCACAACCACCCTGCAAGGGGGCTGATGTTAGCCCGCTCCCCATTTTACAGATCAGGAAACAGAGACACAGAAGAGTTAAGGAACTCGCTCAGGTTAGTTAGTGTCTGGGCCAGTACTTGAACCCTGGCACCTAGCTCCAGAATCCATGCTTATAAGCACCTGTTGGTAAGTGTGCACCCAGACCTACCCCAACTCCCCAGCCCTGACTTCCTGGGATGGTGGTCACTGATGATGACATCAATGTGCTCTATACATTTTCAGGAAAATGGTTTAGGTTTTTAGTTTTATAGGTAAGTATAAAGGAGAAGTGGTCTCATGAAATGTTCCAATTTTTTTAAGGTTATTTATTTTTGAGAGAGAGAGAGGAAGCACGTGAGCACGTGGGGGAGGAACAGAGAGAGAGGGAGAGAGAGAATCTCAAGCAGTCTGAGCTCTGACTCGGGGCTCGAGCTCTTGAAATGTGTGATCAAGACCTGAGCCAAAACCAGGAGTCAGAGGCTTAACGCACAGAGCCGAGCAGGTGCCCCTCGTGAAATGTTCCAACACACACTATTTACCCTTAGCCTACAAAATGGAATGAGTTTGAGTGATTCACAAAGTATATCTACATAACCCTGAATATTTTTATATTAATTTGAAGTCCAAAAGATGGCATTTTAAACAAGTTGCTATAAAAGCACTGACTCCTGTGGCCAAAAGATGTTTGGTTAACTCACAAATCATTAAATGCCTTTTTCATGAAATTTCTCGGTACTATAATAGTCCCTTATCTGACCCAAGCATATCTGAATGTGACCTCCCATAATTTGAAACTGAACTCATACTGTGGTTCTATTATATTTTAAAATTAAAGGATAGAAACCTTTCTCCATGTGTGAAAGTTTGAGCCAAAGGAAAGTCATGGCGCGGGGGGGGGGGTGGGGGTGGACATCTGGGTGGCTCGGTAAGTTAAGTGTCCGACTTTTGATTTTGGCTCAGGTTATGATCTTGCAGTTTCACAAGTTCAAGCCCCACATGGGCTCTGGGATGACAGTGGGGAGCCTGCTTGAGATTCTCCCTCTTTTTCTGCCATCCCCTACTCGTGCTTTCTCTCTCTCAAAATAAATAAATTTACTTAAAAATAAAAAAGAAGAAAGAAGTCATGGGGCACCTGGGTGGCTCAGCCGGTTAAGCATCTGACTCCTGATTTCGGCTCAGGTCGTGATCTCACAGTTCATGGGATTGAGCCCCACACTAGGCTCTGGAATGACAGTGTGGAGCCTGCTTGGGCTTCTCTCCATCCCTCTTTCTCTCTCTGCCCCCTCCCCCCCCGCACGCATGCAAGCTCTGTATCTCAAAATAAATAAACGTTTTTTAAAAAGTCATGGAAGAATTGATAAATGAAAACAAAAATTGGTGAACCATACACAGCTGAGAGCCGTCCATATGTCCTGCCCCATCCCTCAGCTCCGGACGGCAATGCCCCTACTCTTACCCCCCAAGACTACTCCTGGAGGCTGGGTGCATAGCAGGGCACCAGGCCAAGCCCAGTGGGGACCAGGTGTCTGGGCTCCATCTGGGGTAATCGTAGGATCAGCGGTAAAGTTTGCCAAGCCCCTGGCCTAGCGCCTGCCCACAGCACGCTGCCTACAAAAGGCAGATGAAGAGGTCCTCAGAGCTCAGGGTACCAGACTTGCAGCCGTACAAACCAGGGCTCAAACCAAACCAGGGCTCGCGGATCTGCTTTCCAGCTGTGGAACCACCTTTCCCATCTGCGCCTGTTTCCTCTTTTGTAACACGGACCATGGCACCAACTTCTGAGTGTTGTAAGGACTACCCAAGGAAACTTAGAGAGGCACAAGCGAGGTGCCTGGCTCCTGGGAAGTGCTCCGTGTGCCATGGCTACATTTTCAGAGTCATGCTATGCATTTGTCATCCCAGCTGCGAGGAGGAGAGCCACAGAAGAGTGAAGGAGAAAAGGGGAGGTAAGCATGGCCTTCCTCTGACCACACCTGGCACCCAAAGTGGCCCAAACCAACTCCATAGCCCTTCTGGAAGAGTCCCTAGCAGGATGAGCCGGGAGCCAGAGGCTGCTGAGGGGGTGGCCAGCCTTGGTGGCCCCCACTGTGCTCAGAGCACCTCATGTGGGGCAGACCCAGACTGAACCTGCAGGGGGTGCCCGCACCCCAGTCACTGTGGGAGGGGAATGACCCGCCGGCAGCTCTCAGAACTGGCAGATCTGTTAGTGAGGGAGTCAGAGTTAGGGGCACAAAGCCAGGGAGGCGGGGCAAAGGAGGGCTACTTACGATCAGGTTCCTCCTGGGCCTAGAATCTGCAAAAAGAAACAGAGCAGTGACTTCACCAAGGAGGGTCTGGCAGCTACCTGGTCCTGTCCCCCCGCCACAAGGATGACCCTCGGGCCTGATCCAACCAGCAGTGGATAGTTTCAGAGTCTGGGTCCACCCCGGGCCCAGACGCTCACTTCCCAGCGCTCACTTCTGTTGCAGCAATGGGAGAACTAGGAGCCACCTCTCCCAGCCACTAAACCCATCACAGTACTGAAGCCCTCTCCCAGCCTACCCACTCAGAAATTGGTCTGTGGCTGCTGCCACTATCTTGTAGCCCCCAGAGTCTAGAGAACCCAGAATTCCCCAGAGCCCCATGCGAAGCTCACACGGACGACCTCAGGGCCAGGTGATAGAGAGCAGATGACCGACCCTGAGGACCTCTGCTGAACCCCGCACTGGACACACCCGAAGCCAGTCGATGCTGGAGGCCTTCTGTGGGAGTTCAGTTTCTATTACACGTGCCTGGAAGAGCCCATATGACCACCTTCCAGGATGACAACTGCTCATCATCAGCCTGCTACCTATGGCCCCCCTCTGGTGGGCTCAGGAGGTGCTGACTCAGTGATCCTTGGGGCACAACTTCTCATCCCAAACCCCCATCCTCTGCTCCAGCTTTTCTCTCCTATCAAATACAGGGCCAGGTCATGGCCAAGCATATGTTGACATTTAACCATGGCCTACTGGCCATCTGAGACAGCTGGAGATGCTCCCAGGTATCTGGTCTACCCAAGGGCACATCAACTCCTGGCACAGACCATCCTCTGGGGACACAGAGCCCTTTGGGACTGCCGAGGAGGCCCTCTCAGAGACTTGGAATACACTGATGTGGGGTGTGCATACCTGACCAGAGAGATCTGCTCTGAAAATACCAGTGAGCTAAGTCACCTCCAGAACTCCCTGATCTCAGCAGCTCTGGGAACCACAAGCCCTGAATCCTAGCTGAAACACTCACTGGACGCCAACCAGCTGTGATAATACAAACAAGACAGGTGGTTTGAACATGCTGTGTAGACATTAGGTCAGTTTGGGGAACACTCTCACCTGTACCTCTTAAGTGACCACCAGCACATAAAAAAGTGTCTAAAGAGGAAACAAGCCGAATGATGGTCAAAAGGAGAACATGTATAAAATGACACAATTCTGGATTCTTTATTTAACAAATGCACCGCGCTTCCTGCCTCTGGTAACTGGTGTCCCCAGCAGAGTGGTCACCTTGGGAGGTCATGGCTCCTTGCCACTAGGCAGCCACAGTCCACAGTCCAACCACTTTGAGAAATGCTCTCTGGCCTGAGGCAGCCTCCTTTAAATGATGTCAATGAGGCCTAATCTTTGTCCTTTAAGAGTGAGTTTGAGTTTTGCAGACAGCCAACTTTGGTTTGGGTGGCCACAGGGAGAAAGTACGACAAAGTAACAATACAAAATAAAATAAATAAAAGTGATAAAACTCAGTCTTGGGAGGATGTGGGTAAAAAGGAACACAGCGTCTCATGCCCTGTGAACTGGTTCCACGTTTCTCAAGAGCCAACTGGCAATGAAAACCCCACACCCTTTGACCCAGTAATCCCTCTTTGGGTACACGCCCTCAGGAAATAACCAAGAGAACACAAGAGGGCTGTGCACAGAGGTGGTATTTATAATAACCAAAAAACTGAAAACGAGCCAGATGCCAAACAATTAGGCAGCTTAGCAATCTTGAAGCAGAGGCCTTCCTGGCAGGGAGCCCCCAACACAACATTACTTCACCTTCCCAGCCTCAGTCCTCATTATCTGGAAAAGGGGACACATCATGCCCACTTTGGAGGGTTTTTGTGAAGAGAAATGAGACCTCAAACATGAAAGCGCCCAGTGATCAATCACACGGAGACCATGTACCTCAATGTAATTTGATGAGAATGAGCCTGTACTCATGTGTCTTCCTCCCCTAGACCCATAAGTGCAATCTAAGAAGGAGGAAAGTATCAGACAACTTCCAATAGGGAGGCATCCTGCAACATAACTGGCCAGTGCTCCTCAAAACTGGCAAGGTCATCGGGGAGGGGGTGCCTGAGTGGCTCAGTCAGTTAAGCATCCAACTCTTGATTTCAGCTCAGGTCGTGATCCCAGGGTCGTGGGATCAAGCCCTGTGTCAGACTCTGCTGAGCATGGAGCTTGCTTAAGAGTCTCTCTCCTGCTGCCTCTCTCCCCTGCTCATGCTCTCACTCTCTCTAAAATTAAAAAACAAACAAACAAACAAAAAAAAACTGCCAAGGTCATCAAAAACAGAAAAGTCAGAAACTGTCCCGGCCCAGAGGAGCCCAAGCAGACATAACAACTAAATGTAATGTGGTTTCCTGGGTGGGAGCCTGGAACAGTAAAAAAAAAAAAAAAAAAAACTGGGTAAAACTAGGTAAATCTAAATAGAGTGTGGGGTTTAGTTAATAGTAATGTATCAATATTGATTCACTCATTGTGACAAATACACCATATTAATGTAAGACATTAATAATGGAGGAAACTGGGCGTGATAAGGAAACTCTCTGTGCTATCTTTTCCAATAGCCTACGAACCTAAAACCGCTCTAAGAAATGAAGTCTGTTTAAAATTTTTAAAAATTTAAATGTGAAAAAGGGACGGTGCCCAGGACACTGCCTAGCACGTGGTGGGTCCCAGGACATGGACGGGGCTCGGCATTCCATCACACCAAAGAGAAAGTCAGCATTTGATACTGACTCTTGGAAACTAGCATGAAATAACACAAAGGTTAAAAGGCAGAAGCCAGAGGCACTAATGTCTGCCTGCAGCTGCTTACAACCCACGTGTGTGCTTTGATTAAAAACCCAGAACCAGTCATGCCAAGCACAGAGGTCAGATTTCACAAGTACGTTTCCCCTAAAAATGTTGCTTCAGTCTACTGCCTTCATTGATTTGTTTTCTTGCTTTGGGGAATAACTGTGATCTTCTCGTAAACACACCCGACACCGGAGAACACGAGTCCAGGGACACACTAAGTGTTGAGGGCCCCGCTGGGACAAGTGCATGGCATCCCCGGGGCAGCTCTGAGAGTCACCATAGTGGAACACAGGGGTTCTGATGCTCACGCTATCGGTCCCCCCCATCTTGGTCGCTCTCCCTTTCAGTCCCGGCTGCCATGGGAAGGAGAACGGACCCAGGGAAGGAGTCTGGCACAGAGGTTCAGCCAGGCTTTGGCAATGGGCACCCCCTTAGATTAAAATCTAGGCTCCTTAGAGACACAGCTGATTCCAGGGCGAGGGCAGGAAAGCACCAGGTAAGTTGGGATCATCTTAGAGTAAAGAGGTGCTCAAAGCAGGAAAGAATGGGACAAAGGACCCAGGAGCCAGCTTCAACGGCCCCCGCTGGCCTGATCTGAGGCTATTTGAACATTAAATTAAATCATGATGGCAACAGAAGTCCGCGAGTCCATGCAGCTACGAATACAAAGGGAAAAGAATACGGTCTGAGAGGCACCGGTTTTCACGGGCCTCGACGTGCCTCCCCTGGAGGTGCTTAGCGCTTGCCAAGGAGCAAAGGGCAATGTGGTGCTGCAGCAGCCTGGCAGGACGGATGCCACCAGGGATCACTCCTGGGATCTTCCCGCCACCAGAGCCACATGACCTGACTCCACACTCTGCAGTCGCAAGGACGCATCAGGCAAACCCAAGGTGAGGGCTGGGATCTCTAAAGTGGCAAGGTCATGAACATGGAGGAGGAGACAGGGACACACCCAGACTGAAGGAAACTCAAGAGACATGATGACCAGGTGCAACATGAAATTCTGAACTGGATTCTTCGCTATAAAGGATGTTGTTGGGATCCATGAAAAAAGTTGAACGGGGTCTGAGAATTAGTTGGTGGTAAATGCATCAGTGTGAATTCTCTGATTTTGATGGTTTCACTACGCTGTGTAAAAATCTGCCCTCATTTGTACGAACACACACTAAAGTATTGGAGGTGAGAAGGCATTAAGTTGGTAACTTATCTCAAAGGGTTCAGGAAAAATAAGTTCTTTGTACTATAGTGGCGACTTTTCTGTAAGTTTTTTGAAATTGTTTCAAAACAACACAAAATGTTTTTCGACTTCAACCTGCCCGAAGTAGCAAATAATGACTTTAGTGTCCATTAAAATGAAGGATTAAAAGAATTTTAGTCAGTGTTTCTCGACCAGGCGCGATTCCTACCCCTAGGGGACAGTGAACAGTACCTGGGGATGTCTCTGATTGTCACAACTGGGAGGCGCTACTAGTATCTGGTGGGTCTACAGACCAAGGAAACTGCAGAACTTTCTAGAATACACAGGACAGCCCCTACAGCAAAGGATGACCGGGTCCCACATGTCAACAGTGAGAGGCCCAAAAATCTCACCACTAACAGTAACAACAATATCCTGGTCATACTGCTTATTAGCCAAGTGGCCTTAAACAAGTTTTTCCACCTTTCTGTGCCTCAGATTCCTCATCTGTGTAATGGGAATAAAAATAGATACCTCACTGACCCACTGTGTTTTGCAAATGCCTGTCACCAAGGACACATGCCATACAGTCACATCAGTTCAAGAGACAGCTGGTAAGCGCTGGAGCTCCGGGATGGGGAAGGCTAGGCCACGCATTCCCATCCTGCTTGCCCTTATCCCCTGAAAGATCGGACACTGGCATGGCAGCTTGGGAGAGCTACGACCGTTTCCGTACCCAGCACAGACTCACGCGAAAGATGACGTGAATACACAAATGAGCAAGCACACAAACGAAAGCTCCTTCTCCCCGTTAGCACCCACCGCTCGGGAGGGAATGGGGCATCCACCCACCTCGTCCCTTCTCATCCTGAGCCCTGGGTGCTTATCTCGGGTTCTCCTTCCTTCCATCTCGGGCCTGGGAACCCAGACCCCACCCTGCCCCCACCCGCCCAGGGACCCACCGGAAGCCAGAAGGCCAAAAACAGCCCCAAACAGGATGGCCAGCACTGAGTCTCAGAGCTTGGTTTCTTGCAGGTCTGGCTTCTTAAGGGAAGGCGATTTTTTTTTTCTTTTTCTCTCTCTCTCTTTTTCTGTGTGGCAAAACTGCCTTCACGAAGGTTTGAAGAAAAAAATAAACTGACGGCAATGGAAATTTTAATACTAGAAAAATGTCAAGAAAGCAAACACAGGTTTCAATGAGACATTAGGGCTGACAGCTCATGGAAAAAGGCTTGAAACTACCAAAACACGAAAACCCCCCTTGCTAAGGGAGCGCATGCACCTGCTGTGAAACTCATCAAATTCAAAACAGGCCTCAGTGGACAGGTTTTGTGCCCAAGTCAAAAGGCGGGCCACAGAGAGGGTCTCCAAGGGTCCTGGGGAGCAAAAGGGCTGCGATCTGACCCAACGCGGACCACTGGCCTCATGGGTGGACTCTGGGGGTGGACACAGCTTGGTGAGGAGGAAGGCGGAAGGGACAGGCCTGCACTCCACAAAGCCCACAGTCTCCAGGGCCACGCTCAAGCCTTGAAGGTTACGTGGCCCTGGGCACTTCTCCACCTTTTCTGAGCCTTGCTGCCTCCTTGTGGAACGCCATCATCACCCCCCTCCCTTGTGGTTCCTGGGTCAGGGAGACCCCCTAGGGGAGCCTGCCTCAAAACCAGAAAGGGAAGCTCAGACCATTCCTGTTCACTCCTTCCCCCGTGGTCAGGGCCCAGCACACAGCAGGTGCTCAGGCAGTGTTTATGGAGTACTGATGAAGACCTTGCCCTGCCTGGAAAGGGCTGCACAGGGGAGAAAAGGCTCTTGGGGGACAGATGGCTGGGACCCCTCCCCCACAACACACACACCAGGTGAGAGCTAGAAACAGGGTCTCGAAAGGTGGCCTGCAAAAGTTGGCCCGGAAGCTGGGCAGGGATCAGAGAGTAAGGGCCAGGGAGGGCTTCAGAACAACCTAGAATTCAGAAAGCCCTGAGGTTGCTGGTGAGGAAAAAGGCTCCCAACACAGGCCAGCGTGCCAGCCAACAGGAGCCACCCACTGCACCGCACAAACAGGCCCCCTCGACTAACCCACACGGCTGCCCTCTGAAGTCCCACCGCCCCCCTTTTACAAGTGAGGAAACAGAGACACACAGGAATTAAACTCACCTGCGGCCACGTAGCTGGTAAGTGGTAGACCCAGGATGCCAGCCCCATCAGCCTGCCCCACAGCCCCCTAGGGCCCCTGCTGCCAGCAGGAGAGGGGGGGAAGGAAGGAGTGGGGAGGCTGGGGAGGAGGGGAAGGCATTCCAGAATGCCTCTCCGGGTGGGGGGCAAAGGGAGGAAGGATGAAAGGCAAGGGGGATCTTACACCTCCCTGCCAGCGCTCTGGGAGGACTGTGGGGATGGGCCGTGTAGTTCCCACCCACAGCCCGTGCCCGTTACAGATGAGGCTGTGGAGACAGGGAGCCCAAACCAGGGCCCAGAGCCGCTGCGTCCGTGTGGCCCAAGCAGCGCCTTTGGACATGCGGACACTCACCCACAGGCTCCAGCGCGGGCCGGAAGGTCCGGGCAGGGTAGCACAGGTGGAGCTCTGAAAGGACGGCAGGGTCGGCGGGAGGTGCCAGCCTCGGGGAGCCTCAGAGGGCAGGGCTGGGCCCCAGCCAGGCTAGTGCAGGGCAGCTGGCGCTTTCCAAGGCCCCAGGACCCATCTACTCACTCTGCCGGATCCACTTCCTGCAGGCCCTCCAGTGGCACAGGAGGAAGGAGACGGAGACCAAGACCACCACCAGGACCAGGACGATCCAGAAGAGCACAGGCCCTGGAACACAGAGGCGGCCCTGCACTCTCCGCCCTGGCGCGGGGGCCCTGAGGTCCCCACCTGCTGCAGCCTCGCGGGAAGGCCCTCACCCCAGGCTACGTTCTGCTCCTGGGACACAGACACCGTGGAGGCTGGCAGGGCCCCGTCCTTCCCCGGCCGGGGACTGGAACCCAGACCCTGTATCTCCCTGGTGCGGCCCGCACCCGCCTGCCCTCCCTCACCTGGCTCTAGGGGCCCATCGGGGGGAGTGAAGTAGTTGACAGAAGAGCAAACCATTTCTAAACAGTGAGAAATTGAGGAGTTATGGGGCCAGAGTGAAGGAACCGAGGTCCAAAACGTTACGGTCTAGGGGTGCCTGGGTGGCTCAGTCTGACTTTGGCTTAGGTCACGGTCTCACGGTTCATGGGAGTGAGCCCCACATCAGGCTCGCTGCTGTCAGCACAGAGCCCGCATCGGATTCTCTGCCCAACTCTCTCTCCGCCCCTGCCCTGCTTGCAGGCTCTCTCTCTCTCTCTCTCAAAAATAAACAAACATTTAAAATCAACAACAGCAACAACACAAAAGGAGTCACACTCTAAGTGGCTGTGGAGGAGGGCACGTGCCATGTGTGTCCCCCACTAGCCGGTGGCACGTTCAGTGCAGCCAGAGTCAGGCTGGGGCGGGCAGAGCAGGGAGGCCAGGGGCATGCGGAGTGTGGGACTCCCAGCTCCGCTCCAGATGGGAAGCTCCGGGACAACAGCCACGGGGTCTTCTCCGCACATAAACGCGCTCAGCAAGTGTTCCCTGAGTATCACGTAGGCACCACTACCATCTCCATTTTTACATGAAAAACTGAGGAAACTGAGGCTTGCAAAGATTAAGTAACTCACTTAAACATCAAAGGGTAACAGCAGAATCATGGCTTGGGCCAGGCTAGGGTGGCTCCAGGGCCCACACGCTTACCTGCTATGTTTCGTTTTGTTTTGTTTTGTTTTACAACTCAGTACTTAAATTGCTCCTTTTTTCGTCTGTCCCTTATGAAGACTGGATATCTATTTACTGTTTTTTTAAGTCCAGTTTTAGATGGTAAAAAGTAGCATGTGCCATATATGTGCTTTTCAAACTTTAATGTGCATAGGTATCTCCTGGGGCCATGTTCAGATAAAGAGTCTGGTTCAGTGGGGCTGGGGTGGAGCCCACGATTTGCTCTTCTAAAAAACTGCTGAAAGTGCAAGTCCAGGACCCACGTTTTGAGGACAGCTGGCTAGAGAACTGATGCTGCCTAGTGTCTGATATGAGAACTGCAAGCCCTAAAGTGAAGCGCGCTTAGAATGTCTGTCTAGAAGGAGCCCTGCCCATGCTGGACTCGCTGCCTGTACTCCGCGGCTCGCTGCCCTGCGTGCTACATGGCGTGACAATTTTACAGGTGAGAAAACCGAGGCTCAAAGGAATTAAGCAACTAGTCAAGGCCATATACACATTCACCAAATTTTTTTAATTGTCTCTTGAATTTCTTCTTTTTAAAAAAGTTATATTTATTTAAGTGAATTAACTCTACACCCAACGTGGGGCTCCAACTCATGACCCTGAGATCAAGAGTTGGATCTTGATCCAACTGAGCCAACCAGGTGCAAATATTTTCTGAGTAGCAGTCATGGGCCATGGGGATGAAGCTGTGAGCAAACTCCCTGCTCACAAGAACTGAGGAACAACACTAGAGAGTGACAGCGTCCCAGGCCCAGCTCGAGAAGCCAGAAACCTGGGGTCAACCCTGGGCTCCCCCACCCTGGATGCCGCTGCTCAGGAAGGGCCTCCCTTCTCCTGGCTCCTGGGGAGGCAGACCCTCCTTTCTGAGAGGTAATCATTACCTGAAACCAGAATGGGCTTTCCTGTGGAGGAGAAAGAGATGGGAATGCTCGTTGATGTGAAGGTGTCTCCCCAGGCGTGCGTGATGCCTCCTCCATTCTCCTTACTGCTCTGGGGGTCGGCTGGGGAGACCAGAGAGGCCGTGCTGCTGCCAGGAGAGAAGCCAGAGGGAAGACTGATGACTGAGATGGAAAAAGGAAAGCGTGTACACAGGCACCATCCCAGTCACCCCAGACAGAGCTGGGCACGTCTCCAAAATGACCTGTGAGCTCGGCACAGACATCCAGCCCAGGCCCCACCTCCACCCCCCAGCCCTGCTTCCCCCGAAAAGGACCAGGAAGTCACCTGGTGGGCACCTTGCTGCCCTCTGGGTTGGTGCTGCACTCAGGGTGGGCTTCTGGGGGAGGTGGCTCATGGGTGGCATCCCTCTCGGCTGTACCTGCAGGGAGTGGACGTAGAATCCACGTCAAGGAGCCTTACCCAGCAGGACTGGTAACTTGCAGGGAAGTGGCATGGTGAGGCCAGAAGGACATTGCAGCCAGGCAGACCCAGGCTAGTGTCCTGGGCCTGTCTCCTCCTCTCCCTCCTTCCTTCCTTCCTTCCCTCTATGCAACAACTCTTTACTGAGCACCCACTATGTACCAGGGACCATGCTGCAGGCTGGGACATAGCAGTGCACAAAACTGATCCCACTGTCAGGGGCTCACAGGCTGGTGGGGCTCACAGACATGACTCAGGTGTCACACGAAGCCACACGGGCTCCCTGAACTGGGACACTCAACCTCGTCTGACCAGGAGGGCTCCCCTTGGGAGGCTGTTGCTGGGATGTGTGTATGGGTGGGCCTATCTAAGCAGAGGAAATTGAAAGTGGGGTGGCCCATAGGTGGGGGAAGGAGGAGAGTGAGCACATGGGAGAGGCTGGTGTGCAGCCGCATTAAAATGCGTATACAAGTGTCTGTTGTACACAATTGTTCAGAGCTGGGCTCTTCATAGTAGCCAGAGAAGTGGAAACAACCCAAATGTCCATCAAGTGGTAAATGGATAAATAAACTGTAATATGTCAGTACCAGAATACTGTGTGGACGTAAGAGGAACAGAAGCACTCATTCATGCTACAGCCTGGATGAACCCCACAAGTATTATGCTCAGTGAAAGAAACCCAACACAGAACATGTATTCTGGAAATGTCCAGAAAAGGTTTATCCAGAGGGACAGAGAGTAGATTAGTGCTTTTCTAAGCTGAGGACAGACACGGGGATTGACTACTAAAGGCATGAGGTCTCTTAGACTGAGGCGATGGTTTTACAACTTGGTAAATTTCCTTACAATCATTGAATTATACACACCTAAAACTAGCAGATCTTGTGGTATGTAAAGTATACAGCAATAAAGCTATTCTTTAGGTCTTTCTCAGGGTGCCCGGGTGGCTCAACTCTTGACTTCGGCTCAGGGCATGATCTCACAGTTTCTAAGTTTGTAAGTTTGAGCCCCCGGATGGGCTCTGTGCTGACAACCTGGAGCCTGCTTGGGTTTCTCTCTCTTTCTCTCTCTCTGCCCTCCCCTACTCCCTATCTTTCTCTCTCTCTCAATAAATAAACATTTTTTAAAAATTGGGTCTTTCTCGCCAAAGCAACGATTTAATGAGCCATGAGGTGGGACCAGTGTGGTAGGTTGAATCAAGGGTCCACTCCTCACGTGTGGGAGGCGTCTGTGTTCCTGCCTCGCCAGCGCCATGGGGCTCAGACGGCCAGTACAGCGTGCCTGCTCCCAGCCTGGGCATTTCTGCACTTCTGCCATCGCCACAAGGAGATGGTGCTCTGGGCAGGGAGCGGCCTCCACTGGTCCCAGAGTATGAGAGAAACACTAGAAGCAAACCCAAACCAAACCAACAAACCCAGGCAAGACAGCAGAGTGCCCAGCTGATCCACGGAGGAGCAAGAGCCGAACACTAAAACGTCAGTGTTGTTTGTCAACCGCTATTCCTGCGGCTAGAGCTGGCTGAGACAGTCAGGTTTGTGTCTCAGAAGATCAAAGTGAAAGGGCTGCTCTTTATCTCCAGCCAACTGCGATCACACAGGAAGGTGGCTTGGTGGTTCTAGACCCTCTGATTTCATTAGAAGAGAAACCTGGGGATGCATGGGTGGCTCAGTCGGTTAAGCATCCGACTCTATTTCAGCTCAGATCGTGATCTCACATTTTGTGAGTCTGAGCCCCATGTCAGGCTCTGCACTGTGAGGAGCCTGCTTCAGATTCTCTCTCTCCCTCTTTCTCTCTGTCTCTCCCCTGCTCATGCGTGCTCACACTTTTAAATAAATAAACTTTTAAAAAAACTGATAAATACACATAAATGAATAAATTTAAATACTATCTCCTGATATTTAAATGTAGCCTCAACTTTTAAAATCTCTTTCTTTTGAAATCAACTTTATTAAAAAGGCATAATTTATAAAGAAGAAAATGACCCCTAAGTTTACAGTTTGATGGTTTTGAAGAATGTATACAACCATGTAACTCTAACTCCATTTAAGATCTACAACATTCCCGCCATTCCAGAAAGTTCCCTAGTGCCCTCGGCCATAAATCCTTCCCTCACATTCAGGCAACCACTGGTCTGCTTTATGTCACTATAGATTGGTTTGCCTGTTCTAGAATTTCACAGGATGCAATCAGGCAGTATGTACTTTCTGGTGTCTGGCTTCTTTCACTCAACATAATATTTCCGAGATTCGTTTATGTTGCAAAGAACAGTGTTCCATCGTAGAGATGTACCACCATTTACCTACTCATTCACCAGCTGATGGGCATTTGGGTTGTTTCCAGTTTGAAGCTATTATAAATAAGGCAGCTCTGAATATCCTTGTACAAGTCTTTGTGAGGACATAGAATTCCATTCCTGTTGAGTACCTAAGAGGGGGAAGGCTGTATCACTGTGCTGACAAGACAGAATGTCTTTAAGGACCATTCAGAGATGACCTCCTCTGATCTGACCCAGTCCTCTCTTTTTATATATGGAGAGAACCACAGAGCCAGAGCTAGAGCCAGAAGGCAAGGCTCCTGAGTCCCAGCCCAGAGCACACCTTCTGCCTTGGGACTGAGCACTTTCTTACAAGTTTATAATTAACTGGCCCACATTTGAAGTAGATCACTATCCCTCTTTCCCTGGTGACAGCACCCCTCTTCTGATGGGGTGCAAAGCAAATCCCCCACCCACATTCATTTCCCTTCTAAAAAGTTCTCATGATGCCTCTCAGATTTCTCCTGAAACACCTTGAAGAAAAAGTGAAGCAAGGATTAATTTCCTTTTTGGATTAGTAGGGTCGCGAGGAACTCTCCTCTTTTGAGGGTTCTCCAAATAGATGCTAAGTCTTTCCACATGGTCACTAGACTATGACTGGAATTAGCTGAAGCCTGGAGGCATTAGCTTATGAGGAAGATGATAAAATCTGTTATGATAATTTCTATTTGTTTGCAAATGAGTATTTGAATTACATTTAAGATGTCATTGGTTTCAACAAGAGTTGACTTTGAGAGGACTGGAGGAGTTCTTGTGTTCAAATATACCACTTGTGGCTACACCCAGGTAGCACCAGGAACAGAGAGCCCTCTGGCCTCTCTCTAAGGCAGCCTCAGTCTGAGCTCCGAGTAGGAATACCTGCTGGAATCCAGCAACAGAACTCCTCTAAGTGGAGAAGATGGACCCAATGCTCCTTGGATACCGCTGAACCTCTCTATGTGTACCATACCTCATCTGTAGCCTTCCTCCTTCCTCCCTGGATTAGTGACCCTCCCCTTTCTTCCTTCTTTTGATCTGGAGGTGAACAGAGGTATTGTTTAGTCCCTACTTAGTCTGCCTGTGTTCTCTGGTAAAGGCCCACTGAAAAAGAAAAAAAAAGAAAGAAAGAAAGAGACTACCTACTCTTAGTCCCAATTTAGAACTAAAAAGGATATTATCTACCAGATCGAAATATTTCTCTTTAAATCCAAATACCTGATCCTTGGGGCCATTTGAAGGAGAATGGTCTTAGCATCAAGGTTAAATGGATTCTTTTTTTGTACATCCAACAAATGCTTAAAGTCAGATAAAATTTTCATCTTTATATTTGGAGTGTAAATTTCTTGTCTGCTATTTTCCCTAGAGTTTTCAATTGCCTTTCTTTTTCTTGTTGATAAAAGAATAATGTGCCCTCACCATATCAAGTTTTTCAAATGTACTTCTCATCAAGTTTACTGTAATTCTTTCTTTCATTCCTGCCGACAAGATAATTCACTGGAGCCCTGCTCCATTTTTCCATTCTTATCTGGCTCAACTGGTCTGCAACACAGCTATCATTCTGGGACTTCCCTTTCTTGGTCCCCTAGGACAGAGTCACTGTTTTCTAGATTCATTGATTTTTTTTTTTTTTGGTCCCTCATTTAGCTAGTTTATATCTTCAAGTAACTCTAAAAGAAGACACATGAGGGAAAATCCTTCTGCCCTTTTATGTCTGAAAATGTTTTTGTTCTGCTCTCAAACTTAATTGTATCCTAACTGAAAAATTCTAGGTTCAGAACCAAGAAGAAGCTGATGTAGTCTGGTAGAGAATAGTCTGGGCTAAAACTCAGGATCCTTGTGTTCCAGCTCTAGCTCTGGCCCTAACATTCTCTCCATCTGTAAAACTAGGTTGTGAGGTCAGATCACAGGTGGTAGGTTTTGAATTGACCCTTAAAGACATTCTGTGTGGCCAGCACAGTGATCCAGTCATTCCTCTCCTGGGTATTTACTCATGAGAGACAAAAATATATATTTACACAGAGATGTACAAGAATGTTTGTAACTGCCATATTCATAAAAGCTCAAAACTGGAGGGTGCCTGGGTGGCTCATCGGTTAAGCATCTGACTTGATCTCAGCTCAGGTCATGATCTCATGCTTGTGGGTTCCACAAGTGGATGGGGCACCACTGTGGGTACGAGGCCCAGAGTACACAGTGACCAAGTCAAGAGGGCCATGAGAAATAGGAATGCAGAAGACCCAAGACTTGGGGTAGGGGGTGCATGGAGGGGATTATGGCACTTCTGCTGACATGGGGCCTGAGATGAGCAGTGTCCCCATTGGGAGGGCCACACCAGGGTGGTCACCAGACCTAGGCTGGGGCTATGAGGTTGTAAGGGACCGTCTACTCTGGGAGCATGACCGGAACCAGATGACCCCACCCACATGACCTGCTGACAGAGTGTGCAGCAAAAGCAAGAAAAAGTAAATGTAGCCAAGAAAAAGCTTCCTTCCTCCTGCAGTGGCTTCCCGGTACCCTCTATGGGCAAAGCATAACATCATGTTCACAGGAGAAATGTGCAGAGTCCAGTCCTTTACTGCACAGCAGGTGCTTAGGGTGTAATGAGAGTTGAGAGGCAACTATTGGTAACAAGCACACTTTCTAAAAGCCTTTTTTTTTGGTCCTCTATTTTCTTATAATTTCTTTTTCATTGTGTTCTGTTCTCACTTTATTGATGTAACAACTTCTTGAATTTTTCTGTAGACATTTTTAAAGTTTATCAATTTATTTTGAGAGAGTGAGCAGGGAAGGAGCAGAGAGAGAGAGGGAGAAAGAGAATCCCGAGAAGGCTCCACACTGTCAGCACAGAGCCCTATGCAGGGCTGGATCCCATGAACCTCTAGATCATGACCTGAGCAGAGATCAAGAGACACTCAGCTGACTGAAGTCACCCGGGTGCCCCCTGTGGACACTAATTTAAATTTTTCAACTTCTATTGCTATTCCTGAAGCAATTCCTATTGCTTCATCCATAGTAAGTTTTCCTATTAATGTATCTTGCTATTCTCCTTCATGCTGCTGGTTTTCCTTATTAGTCTGGATATCTTTATTGTTTATTCATATTTACTTAAAAAGAACTATGCTGAGGGGTGCCTGGGTGGCTCAGATGGTTGAGCTTCCAACTTCGGCTGAGGACATGATCTCACAGTTCTTGAGTTCGAGCCCCATGTCAAGTTCTGTGCTGACAGCTCAGAGTCTGGAGCCTGCTTCAGATTCTGTCTCCCCCTCTCTCTGCCCCTCCCTCACTTGTGCTCGCTCTCTCTCTCTCTCAAAAATAAATTTAAAAATATAGAGGCGCCTGGGTGGCTCAGTCAGTTAAGTGTCCAACTTCGGCTCAGGTCATGATCTCACAGTTCATGAGTTCGAGCCCTGCATCGGGCTCTGTGCTGACAGCTAGCTCGGAGTCTGGGGCCTGTTTCAGATTCTGTGTCTCCTTCTCTCTCTGACCCTCCACTGCTCGCTCTCGCTCTCTCTCTCTCAGAAATAAAACATTAAAAAATAAATAAATAAAATTTTAAAAATAATGATAAATTTTTATAAAAAAAACTATGTTGAATATTCCAGCACATCCTTTTCACAGTGGGTCTCTTCGCTGAGTAGGAGGTCCACCCAGGAACTCTGGGCCCATGGTGGGGAGTGCGGGCTGGCAGTCTTCATTTCAGGGTGATTAGCAGGGGTAGCCTATTGACAATGCATACTCCCAAATACCAAAGGGACTTTACACCAGGGTGGCAGTACCACACCGGTAGCCCTAGGTTTTCCTAGATACTCCTTCAATGTCTTTAGCCAAAAAGATGATGATTTTCACTAGAGGATGAAAGCTCAGGTACCGTCTGTTCAGACTGGTCAGTGTCCATGGTATGCCACTGTTGCAAGATTTGTTTTTATTTTCAAGATAAAGTTTCAACCCTCTATACCTTTCAACTCTCCACTCCCATCCCATCCCATTTTACTTGCCTGCTCTGAGCCCAGAGCCTCTGTGGGGGTCTTCAAACCAAGTTACCCTCACATTTCCTGCAGCACTCATGGAATGAATCCGGGGGTGAACTTTCCTCTCCCTGGTTTCATCTGTCACCACCCTTCCCTCTGTTTTCTGCCTTCTAGAAATTTGCTGAAATCTCTTGTCTACTGATTGTTCTATTCCCCCCACCGTCAAGAATTTATAATTGTCTGTACTCTGGCAAATTTCTAGTGTCTTTTTTTCTGTTTCTTCTTTATTTGTTTTTTTTTTTTTCTTGTTTTGTTCTTTAAGTAAGCTCTACACCCAACATGGGGTCTCAACTCATGACCCCATGATCACGAGTCCCATGCTCTACTGACTGGGCCAGCAGGCACCCCAAAATGACTACCATCTTGAGTTGGAGCCCTCTTCATGTTGATTTCATATTGATCCATCTGAGTCATGAAACAGCCTTTCAAAAGCAAGTCAAGATTTTATCAATCCAACATCAAAAGGAAAACATTTTTTTAAATATTATCAGAATCTCTTACCAAAATGCCAAATCTAGAATTTTTCTTAGTTTATTTATGTTTTGAAGTACCTGTGTGGCTCAGTCAGTTAAGCATCTGACTCCTGGTTTCTGCTCAGGTTATGATCTCAGTCATGAGATCGAATCAAGCCTTGCATCGGACTCTGAGCTGACAGTACAGAGCCTGCTTGGGACTCTCTCTCTCCCTCTCTCTCTTCCACACCCCCCCTCAAAATAAATAAACATTTTTTAAAGTTCATTTATTTATTTTTAGTAATATCTACACCCAGCGCAGGGCTGGAACTCACAACCCCAAGATCAAGAGTTGCATGCTCTTCTGACTCAGCCAGCCAGGCACTCCAAAATCCATATTTTATTCCACTTCCTGGATCTAGCTATTAAAAGAAAAACCAAAGCCCAAACCTGACCTAGTTAACAGCTAGGGCTGAAGGTCACTTGCCCAGCTTGGGACAGAGAGAAATACAGCTGTAGGGGCACAGATCTCAGCCCCTTGGCTGGGGGCGCAGACTGCTTACCGTGGGGTTTGGTGGCCATGCCTGGTGGGCAGATGCGGCGGGTGACACAGCGGGCACAGGAGTTGGTGGCTGATGTGACACAGAACATGCCAGGTCGACATTCGCAGACACGAGAGGAGTTCCAGGTGCAGGGTGTCTTCTCCACCAGGTCATCTAAGGGACACAGAAGGGTCACGGGGAAGGATCTGACATGGCAAGGGCAGGGGGTCCAGAGAACCCCCAGGAGGGCAGAGAAGCATTTGTCCAGAAGCAAATGCTCAGATGACTATTCTGTTGAGCCGATCTCTTGGCACACTCAAAAAATGCTGAGTGAAAGAAGGCAGGAAAAAAAGAGTATATACTATGTTATTGTATTTATGGAAAAGGCTAGAAAATGCAAACTCTCCCACAGTGGCAGACAGCAGAATGGTGACCTGGGAATGGACGCGGGGCGAGCAACAGTGGGAGGGATAATCAGGAGCACAAGGAAACTTTCTGGGGGGTGGAGGGTTCATTTACCTCAATTGTAGTGATGGTTTCACCGCTACATGCATATGTCAAAACGTATCAAATGGCACATTTTAGACATTACATTGCACTGCATGTCAATCATACCTCAATCGAGCTGTTAAAAGAAAATACTCTAGAAGCCAGAGTGAGCAGGCATGGGTATAGATGAGCGCACACTGGCCATGCCTTGTTCATTCTTTAAAACTGGGCAATAGTCCATGACCGTTCCTGACCCGCTCTGCTTCTCAGTGTGTCTGAAATTTTCAATGATAGCAAGGGATTCACCCCCACCAAAATTAAGAGGTTTTGTAAAAGAAAACATAGAATAATGCATTTACATATGTTCAGAAATATTCTGTGTGCTCTATGTGGGTGAAAATAGAGCTACTGCATTAGATTAGACAAATGTGACTTGATCATTAAGGACTTTTCTCAGTCAGCAGGATACTTAAGAGACCTCAAATGATAAAGGACCTCACAGTCTCTTCCTTAAACCTCCAGAGGGAGTGGGAAGCAGAGAGGATCTGGGGAATGTGTGTGGCGGGCAAGGGTGAGCTCCCCAGTGAGAGAGATGAGAGGGGACAGTAACAGCTATTATCAGGGTTACAGCTATTGATATCATTGAGTAGGTGTGAGGCAGCATTAATACAATAGAGTCTGGGGGAGTAGAATTCCTAGCACTCTACCCAGATTAATCTAGTTTAAACTATTTAATTCCCACAACAGCTCTCTGGGAGAGTACTATTATTTTTTTTTATTTTTTATTTTTTTATTTCTAGGAGAGAGAGAGAGACAGCGTGAGCAGGGGAGGGTCAGAGAGAGAGGGAGTCACAGACTCTGAAACAGGGTCCAGGCTCTGAGCTGGCAGTCAGCACAGAGCCCGACGTGGGGCTCGAACCCATGAACTGCGAGATCATGACCTCAGAGAAAGTCGGACACTTAACCGACTAAGCTACCCAGGCGCCCCAGGAGAGTACTATTATTATGCCCATTTTACAGATGACGAAACTGAGGCACAGAGAGGTTAAGAAACTTGCTTGTGTTTAAAAGATGTAAAGGAGTGGAGGGGCGCCTGGGTGGCTTAGTCGGTTAAGAGTCCGACTTTCGCTTAGGTCATGATCTCGCGGTTCATGGGTTTGAGCCCCACGTCAGGCTCTGTGCTGACTGCCAGCTCAGAGCCTGGAGCCTATTTCAGAGTCTGTGTCTCCTTCTCTCTCTGACCCTCCCCTGCTCGTGCTGTCTCTCTCTCTCTCTCTCCTAGAAATAAATAAAAATATTTAAAAATAAAAAATAAAAAAAAAAATAAAAGATGTAAAGGAGTGGAGCCACGATTTGAACCCAGGCACTTGGGCTGGGCTGTGCTCTTAGCCCCTGTACCACACCCCACTGCTTCGCAGGGCTTTATCCTTAGAGCTGAAGGAATCTCAGACCCACAGCCACCTCTTGTGTCTCTATCTGATATGGTGGTTATGACAGGTTACTTTTTTCCAAAATGGCCAGAGCAATGTTTCTGGCCCCATCTGCTCATCTTGGCCTCTGCCACTTAACTACCAAGAAGCTGGATTTCTTTTCCTTCTGTTGACTCAAGTGGGACTTGAGGCTGGCTCAACAGGTAGAAAACGGCAGAAGTTATGTCATGGATTCTGAGGCAATGTCACCGAAAGGGATATAGCTTGGCCCCACCCCTGCCCCATCCTTGGAATCCAGCCACGAGGCCTTGAGGAAGCCCAAAGTCAGCCACGTAGAGGCCGACACAGAGAGCATCGAGGCCCTGGCCTGCAGTTGGCATGGACCCGCGGGCCCGTGAATGAAAATGCTTTCAGAGGATTCCAACCTCCAGCCTTCACACTTTCCAGATGAAATGCCAGACATGGTGGAGCAGAGGCCAGCAGTCCCCGCAGTGCCCTGTCTGAATTCTGACCCACAGAACTCACGAGCACAAAGACTGGTTTGGTTATCACCACCGAGTTCTGACAGAACTTGCTATGCGGCCGTAGTAACTGGGACAGTGGCCCCCAGTGACAACAGTGTCCTCTCCTCTTCAGGCCTCCCCTGACTTTAGGCCATGTTGTTGTGTGAAATAAACTGGACAAGGAAGCATAATCACGCATTCCCCGGGGCCTGGGAGGCCTCCCCGGCCCTTTGGGGCCCTGGCGGATGTCATGGGGCAGCTGGTGTTGCCGTAAGGCTGTGGTGAGCGGACTGTGCACACAACAGTCACCCAGCAAGCAGCTATCCAGGGAATTGTCTAAAGGACAGTGAATGACCACAGCCCACAACCTCAAAGTTCAAGCTCCAGCTCTGCCATTCTCAAAGACTTGTGGCCTTTGTAAAGCCTCAGGACCCAAGCCCTCAATTTTCTCTTCTCTAAAATGGTGACAATCATAATCTATGCACCATAAGATAGCTACCAAAAATAACAAGACCAGTTTAGAACAGTTAGGTTATAACAAATGCTTCCTTGCAGGTGTGAGCAAATGGAAGCTCTCTGAAAAGGAGTCACCACCATCAAAACCCTATGATCATGACTGGGCTCAGAAAATCAAACTGCTCAGAAATGCTAAAGAGGTGTGCTAGGCTCCTAAGGGCTGAGCAGTCCCAGAACAAACTCAAGGTTCCCCATCCCTAGGTTCTCAGTCAAGACTCTTGCTCCCAGAGAGGGCCCGTGAAGGGGAGAAGATGGCCCTTACCTCCAGAACAGCTCACACAGGCCGTGCAGCGGCCATTCCTATCCAGGTAGTGGTCAGGCTCACAATGCGTCCTGCAGTCAGGTGACTCCTGCGGGCACAGCTGGGGCGGGGTCAGCCCTGGGAAAGACAGAGAAGCTCCAGGCCAGGCCACCTTGGCAAAGGCCCTACCTCTTCACCCAGCCACCACCACCAGCTCCATGGCCAGCTCCCAGATTCCACATGTGTCACATCAGTCTTCAGAAGGAGTCCTGAAGCCCAGAGAGGGAAGGAATGTGTCTAAAGCCACACAGGAGAAGAGCACTAACTGCCTCCGAACTGCCCCCCTGCTTCCAGGCCCTGCCCTCTGCGATCCATCATTGCCACTATGCCTGAGCCCTCTCCCCAGCCCCACTGCTGTGTCACCACCCTCCTCGAAACCCTGGGGCCACTTCCCTCTGAGATCAGCCAT